AAAAACTCATATTACACATTACACATAAATTTTTTGAAATTTTACTCTATGTATTACTAACATTTAACAAAGTTATACATGCTCCATCTGTTGGTGGCTGCAATAAGTACGTGGAGATCGTATCTTATAGGTCCCTAATGAGTACGAATTCTGCGTCGGCGAATTGTACCCCAGTCTTTGGCGTGCTTGGCGGGTAGTAATCTAGCGAGTGCATGGTAGAGTGCATTAGACTAGTCTACCATGTTCAGTGCAATACCCGAGACCTATATATCTTGAAGAAAAGTAGTTCATTGGTGTTAGCTACCAGGAAAGTATGGAGGATCCGAAGCAAGTACGGTTGTTTTTAACAAACGCCCAAAGTGTGCCATAAGGCTTTGCAAAATAAACTGGGAGCCACGGGGGTCAGGAAGCTCGCTCACTAAGCCACGTATGCCTGCGGGTATATGATGGACTTGTTCTTAAGTCGTAACAAATAAATAAATTAATTACACTATTTATGCTAAAGGAATTGACGGACGGCTTTCCCTCTGGCCGAATAAAAGAAAATGTCTGGTAAATGAATTAATACATGCAAAAAGGAATTGATGGACGGCTTTCCCTTTGGCCGAATGAAAGAAAATGTCTGGTAAATTAATTAATACATGCAAGAATGGAAAAGGGGTATGACGAATAAGTTCTCCCCTTTTACCTATTTTTACTTTTGAACACATGTCATGAATGCCTGCGGGTAAAGGTGGTAATTGATCAACAAGCACAGTGGAAGCCTTATGGCGGAAGCAGTCAGTTGATCAATTGGTGAGTCCTGACTACTGGGTGCGGCCCTTCGGGGAGTACTCGTGGTGGTTGTGGTTGGCAGTTCCAAGCCAAAGTGGAACAATCGAGTGCAGCTAGGCCCTCGCCACTCACCAGAGTGGGGTTTATTGTTCCATACACAATAAACTGATCTGGACTCTGGTGCTGTTTAGGCCCCTACTCTGTGGGGATTGTCTAACTCGCCAGGGGGCGTAGTACGCTTAAAAAGTGGTTTGGGCCACCGTGGGGTTAAGCCTTACAGGCAGGAACCCACGTTAAACCCTTGCCACAAATTCTGCTTGGCGGGTGATACTAAACACTATACTATCAAAACTGTTAGTTCTATATCCACGGATACCGAACAAATGTAATATTCAATCCATCACAACTTCGCGAATAACTTAAGAAGTCCCGTAGACCATTCAAGACGACGAACACATTGCAACGAGTTTATGGTATTTTAAGGCTTAAGCCGAATGCTCATCAAAATCTTTCATGAAATCATGAAATTTCCAGATGATGTTTCATGGCCAATGAAGTCAATCTCTTAATCATTAGTATATAAAATTTCATGTCAATGCGTGCAAGAAGAAAAAAAAAGGTCTTATGCGGTTTCTTTTTCATCAATACATCTAACGCAAGATAAGAATTGAAAGGGTGTTGTGCGTTTAACTTCAAGCAAATTTGCTTAACGATAGAAGAAGTGACAAATCGACGTGTGTCCACTGTAGGGCATCGCAACAGTAGCGGTCCAGGAGACGATTATATATTATTAACTAATATATAAGTACAAAATTTTGTGAGTGGGAAATAATAAATAATGGGAATGTACACCAAATATACAATAACGTAACAAACGGACACACATCCGTAATATTGGAGAAACATTTTCCTGGAGACGAAAAATAAACGAACATTGGACATGAATTCTTGAGAGATAACGGATGAGGCCATATTTCTTCAATTGCTTTTCTTTTCATCATAACTCTTATCACAACTGTGGCTCATCGAGAATTAATTTTGTTCTTGAGCAAAGAACTTTGTAAAAAGTCTTACTTTTTAGTAAACTACGAAAAATGTAGTAACGAAACTAAGTTGGTCTGTGTCAGACAGTCGATTGATAGTTTTATGTCAAAGCAAGTAATACGTCGACATAGATGTACTTCTCTATTCTCTATGCAGAGAATATTCCAAAAGCTTTTTTGCATAACTTAATAAACAGATGAATTCCTCTGTGTTTGCATTTGCAAAAACTATTAATCTTTTCTCTTTTAAACCAAACTGAATATAAATACCTTTTTGTTTTTTTTGAATTTATATTATCGACTATTTGTTGCCGGAATGCACATTTAATGACATATTTTTGAATTATTTTTTCCTTAATTTGCTTCTTGTGAAGGAAACTTTAAATATCATATTTTCGAGTTTTTATCTTCTTCATTCCCTTATGAGAGAACTTAAAAAACAATTAAGAAATTCTGATCAGGAACTGAGCGCGATTCGAGCCGCAGGAAGAGCAAAATGCTATTAATGACTTTACTTTTTATTATTTGAGCTGTTAAAACATCTTTATAAGAACGATTAAGATAACCAAGGGATTGCTTCACCTGGAATTTTTGACACTGTTCACTACGTTCATCAGAAACGTGAATGGCTTTGTTGCTGATTTAGGCGCGGCAATGCAATACCGCTTTTGATTAAAGATTTCTGTACCAATAGGATAGCCATCATCATCATCGTCAGACAGAACTCTTCATCGGCATAACTAGTTTGCTGAAAAAATTGTTGAGCGATTTCTGATGCAGAAAAGATGAGATTTTTTCAATTGCGAATTCTCTATGGAGGACAAAGACATTATAGAATCGCCTAGACCTATCTCAATCAATCTTCAGTTTCAATATGTTTGCTTCCCTGTCTTCACGGTGTTCAGAACTGTTTATATTTAGTAATTTGTGCGCAACATGTTTATTCTAACGAAGTTTCCCGAGTAACAGGCAGGAAAACAGTATCTTCTTATAAATAATATCTTTAACGAATTCTTTAATAGTGGAAGATATATTGATTTCCTGAAAGCAGCTTTTCTTCTATAGAGAACATGCAATGTTCCATCTACAATTTCGAATGTTTTCTTCTGATTGCCACTACTAGCGACTCTAAATAGTGATGGAACAAAATAGCGCAATGCTCGAACATGTGAAAATGTGAAGAATGGAAAGCAAATAAACGAACTACTTAGAAAGCCTTGAAAAGAAATATTAAATATTCTACCCCTTGCACGCACATACCACGTTTAAATTTTGCCTTTTATTTGCAGTTATTTTGTCATTTCTCTGTAACGATTAGTCGAAAAATTGAAAGAGTGAATTCTTAATCACCAGAGATAAATCACTGCATTTCTCTAACAGTTCGCTATTTGATTTTAATTTTTAATTGCAATTCGAGAGCAATATATATAAAAAGCATTTCAAACTTTACGTTTCTCCCTTTCAACAACATACTTTCCATGAAATAGTTCATTATACCCACTATTGAAGGATGTGAGGGTCCAAGTGGTTGCAGTAGGCCTCAGAAATCTTGTAATGTAATAAATTCCGAATAGATATGGCCCTGCTTGTCCACCCATCCATGTAACTGTTTTTGGTAAGCAAAATTAAAATGTCGGCTTTAAATGTCGCAAAAACACGCAAGTCCACGAATGCAGGTTGATAATGAAAAGGGGCCACGTTCGTCGAACAGAGTGTCTACAATGTCTCAAGAATGCATCCATGTAAACACATCCACGATGACAATTTGCATGTATGTTCTATTGATGACCTTGGAATATATGCATAAACATGGTAAAGATTGCCTACGACTACACAACAACATTATGGAATATTGAACTATCATTTTCTTCGAATCTCTTTTTAAGTAAAGACGGTGGCTACATTCGACACAGGAGACTCATCCACCTCCGAATACAAGTTTATTACTTGGCATTCAGGTCATTCATGCATTACTTACTCAGCAAGTCAATACTCCTGTCCAGGGAAGCAAATGACTCTTTTTTTTTTTATTTCAAACCCACCACTGCAAGATGGGCGTATACTAATTATGTTTTTTCCACAATGTACATAACACCCAGACGGAATCCTGAGAGATCTTACAAAGTACAACTCTTCTTGATCAGCGTGAAATTCTGAGTTGATTTAGCCATGTTTTTCTGTTTGTGTGTCTTTATGTCTGTACGTTTTGTTGGCACTCTCCAAAAATGAAGATATCGACTTCAAATTTGATAAAAACATTGAGAGTTTGTGCACGCAGGACGGTATTGAAAATGGGCCAAATTGGCCAGAGCAGAAGCGCGCAGTGGAACGTAAACTGAAAGCAACATGGAAACAATCAACCATGCACACATAAAGTTATGAGTAATTAAATTTTATAACCAGTCCTGATATAACCAGTCAAATTTTTATCCTACTCGTAGCACCAAGAGGTACGCATGAGAGTGCCCATAAAGACGATTCATTATTACTCAACGAAAGATTCGATAGCAACTTAACCTTATGCCCCTATCAACTTGAGTATGTTTAATTGTGGGAATGCCCTGATGACTAAGTTACTGAATTTTTACTGAGAATGGCAAATTAACCTGGTTCTTAACTTATTTATTACTGCCAGCTGATTAGCCTGTACACCCACATTAAAAAATGTATAATACGCGTCTTACCCCATAGGCTTCTTACTTGTTTTAATTTTTGCCAGACTTTAGGAAGAATTTTACCTAAACGTTCTTTCCACATTTTAAATTCGCAACAAGCGATCAGAGCTAACTCCCTTCGGTTCGTATTCACGGGGAGTCTTTTTGAAAGTCATTTCGCATGTGGGCAAGCCAGGGGATAAGTCCGATGGGAAACTAATGTTAAATATAACGAGGACACAGTCAATTGTCAAGAAAGTAAGTTTGGTGTGCATTATTACGATGATAATCGTATACTTACTAAGTTTGTTTTAAGAATTCGCTTGTGGGCCCAAAGTCATTATAATAGGAGTGGGAAAAGGTAGTGAATTTGCACCACATAACTCAATTCTTGGATTCACACTTATGCCGACTAATACTAATAGTGGGAATAGGGATTAACTAATTATGATTTGGAAAATTTTAAATGTATTAAAAAGAACAAGGAATTTTACATAAAGATTTGGTGCGGAAATTTTAAACTTGGCCCTCATTGCCACAGTTTTCCTTCAATGATTTCTAAAATCATTTTTTCTCGGAAATACTTCATATTCGCTTGCGAAAAGTCGATCTTCTTATCGCGAGTTACGTACTCGGCAAACATACAACTGAACACACCGCAATCACTGCCGTTCTTTTGTTGCGGCAGATCGTTTACCGATTCAATTGTGAACTGACTCGTGTCGAATGCTTTTTTACGCTTGTCCATCGACTCATCTTTCAGATATTGTTCAAGAACTTTTAATATCTTCGGACAAGGAGTACCCATTGAGTTGTAGAACTTTATGCTACGGTTCTTCAAGTGAATAATAGCCATACACCAGTGGATGCCAATCAGGTGAAGTGGAATTGGCAAAATATCTTTAGTAAAAATGTCCACCTTGCGCGTCCACCGCCTAACCCCTCCATAACCAGCTTGTAAGAGACGTGGAAAAAAGAAGGTGTTCATGGCGTATACCGAAGGCAGACCGTTAGATTTGCTGTTATTGCGCTCACCGCGATCGATAAGAAGATTCATATAGAAATTTATGATTTGATCGTTGAGCCAATTACAACCATACAAAGTACGTAAATCTCGCCTGGTTATATTCAGATTAAATTTTGATGTCAAGATTTCATCCGTTGACCCAAATATAGCAGCATTAATACGGTCGCGATGCTCTTTTGCGAATTCTATACACTTGGCTTTAGTAGTATTCTCCTCATAATCATCGCTTAGCAGTGCTTTGTGTTCAACAATTTGAATGTTACGCAAGCGATCTTGTATTTCTACCTCAGGATCAGGTCGCCGATTAATTGACTGTTTACGGACTGCGTCGGTTTTGTGATCCTTCCAAAATACGTTATTCCGGCATAGAGACGATTTTGACGGGGAATTTTCATGCCAGTTGTCTTTATATTCTGTTGAGGAATTCGCCCGATCCCGCAGATTGTTAATCGGATCAAAAAACTTCAACTCTGTCTTCTGCGGACTTTGTTTGATGAATTCACGGTCGTCGTGAGATCGAAGAATATGAGTTTCCTCATCACTATGAGTGTACTCACGAATGTTCCTTTGTTTTGTAGGTAAAAGTGATTTATTTTTAGTAGTTCCTGGAGCAATTGCATTTGACGAGCAACGAAGCTTAAGGGATGAAATTGACATATCTTTTAAACCACGGGCCGATGAAATGGAAATTGGCAACAACGTTGTACGTTTCACTTGGGATTGGTTATTAGGTTCATATATAGCGGCTGGTGCATCACACTCGGTTCGACTTGGCTCGGCTTGCTTCCATAAACTTACATATTTTTCTGAATGTTGACTCTTTTCGGTCTCTGCCACAACAGAACGACGACTTAGTCGCCCTGTGTTGGGTAAATACTCTGAATCGTGCAGTGGAGGGAATGAAGCAAAAGTTGGAACTTCAGAAGAATTACAACTACTATTAGAGGCTCGGAGGCTTAACTTCTGATTGCCACCCGGTTGACAGTAGGCATACGAAGGTTTCATATTCTCAGCAGGCAACAATGCAAGCATTGAAAGATTGTCAATGTGCTTTGAGGATGTGGCAGACGATGTCAATTTATCCTGGAACTTTGGCTCTTTTTTACTATGCAAATGCCTTGAAATGTCAAACAATCTTGATGCGAATCCCTTTTTAATGCTGCCAGAAGATTTTGGTTCAACTAAATCGTCATCATCAGAAAACTCAACATCGGCATAAACAGTATTTTTAACAACTCGATGAACCATTTCTGGCACAGAAAAAAGAGAAGTATTATGGCAACTATCCAACTCGGCTGAGCAATCCTCAGATTTTCTTTTACGTTTATTTTCCGGTTTCGATGATTGAGGACTGGAAGACTTGTTAAAATTGAGTAAACTCCGGAACTTATTTTCTATATCGAAAACCATCTGCAACTTGCCTTTCACGGGTTCTAGTAACAGACTTAAAAACCCTCATAAACGAAATGGAATCAACTATATTATGTTGATGATTTCTTTTCTACTTCTTGTATGGAGAATGTTACGTTGACGAGTTCTTTTCTATTTCTTGTATAGAGAATTTCTGCTCTTAGAGCTGCTGCCTGTTAAAGGAGATAAGTAAATTAAGGTTGTAATCATATCTGCTTATTAGATACTGATGCAATGATAGTGGCGCACAATTCAGATTATCAATCCCCTGCTTTAGATAATGGTTAGATAGCAATAGACTTCAACCCGTGCAATGTTTGTTACTACCTTAGTGTTATAAAAAAAAAAAAACTGCGATCCTTTAAAAATCAATTCAAAAACATTTCTTATTAATTTTCATGATTTTATTTTCTTTAAACCGTCCAATCATTGATGTCTTTTTTACGCATTAACAGAAGAAAATGAGGAAGCACCAGCATTCAAGTGCTATAAATCGTATCTATTCGAAATGATGACAAATAAAAAAGTGAAAATTAAGAATTAAACAAATCTAAAGCTTTTTGATGATTATTTATCTTCAACCAGTCATTAAGGCAAGAATGGGAATTTCACTAATATTGGATTTTACAAAGCATAAAGAAAAAATGTCCCCCTTTATTCGAGGTGAAAAATTTATGTCCCGATATCACCACTATCATTAAGACAGTAACCAAAGATTATATCCTTACATTTATTTTATTATTTTGGCACGCACGCTTTCAAATTTGCGTTTCTTCCTTTAGTTAAACTATTCACTTTTGAACAAATTCAAACATTTTGTTATTAAAAAAAACATTTCTCGTATAAAAAATTGAAGCAAAGATTACTTGAAGCAAAAAGTTGACAACACAATATTTGAAAATTCAAACGAAGTACGCTTTGATTCTTGACGTATAAAGAGAATTGTAGTCATTTGTGAAAAAAAATTGTCTTGAGGTTTGAAAAATAGTGAAGCAAAAGCATCCATCTTGATTGATAATCAAGAGACTATGAACTGAAGAAATAATTAAGTATTTGCAGTAAATCAGCTGCAGCTCGGAGCACGTATTTGCTCGCAATGCCATGTTTTCAATTTATAGATCAGAACGTAAAAGTTTCGAAGCCCGATTTTAGGTCCGCCGATACTTTTAAAAAGAAATGGATAATAAATAAAAAGTTTAATTTTCTCATGTTCAAAACTTTAAATATTCTTTTACCTTTTCCTTGAAATATTTATTGATTAATTGACTAGTTAATGATGCCTTTATATTTACTGAAACAACGTCCCTGCATCGAAATTTGCTTTGCCCAGAATATAACAAGCAATCGACGAAACATTCTTTGGCCATAAAGTATTGAAGTAAGTGAAAGCGAAAAATTAGAATTGCAAGAATTCGCCACGCCAAGTGCATAAGCATTCTTTTTACAATTAAGAAAAAACATTCCATTCCAACTTGTCAGTCTAAACAATAATAGTATAAAAATATACACATCTTCTTTTCCAAAAAAAAAAAAAAAGAAATTGAAATTATCCCAAAAAATATATTGACGGCTAATTACGGCTGACTCTTCTCTCTTCTCTTACAAGAGCAAGAATATAATTCTACTGCCAAAAATCTGCACAGATTCGCGCCATGGCATGGCACGCTTTAGCAAATGTTGTTCTCTTTGTAAATTCGGCTAGATCTCCGCGCTTTGTGCGTATGCTTCGCGGGGAATTTATTGTTTATGTTTGTTGAAGATAAAATGCGCTTTGTCCTTTCTCAGGTCCACGGCTCATGGCTGTCCTCGAGAGAAAGAATGCATCAATTGCTAAGTTGACCATACTTCTAATTCTAAAACCTGGTCGATCTGCAAAAAAAAATCCTAAAACAAAGAAAGACCCTGCAAAAAATCTTAAGTTAACGCCCCTTAGGTTTCTGTAGAACTAGTATGCTCATCCCAACACAAACACCGCAAGTTTACATTTAATACCGAAGACTTCTGAAATGTTTCGAAATTTTCCTTTGCTGTCAAATTAATCACCTCGAAACGTTTAAGCTCCCAGTATTGTTCCACCTAAGAAAACCATAATCTCATATCATGAGTGTAAATTAGGGACCATCCTAACCGAGACCATTCAATTCAAGAAGCATCCTAACGAATAAAATAAACAAATATAGATTTCCATAAACAACTGGCGTCATTCGAACTCGTTTTAAACACTTCTCACCATGGTCCCGCATTGCACCCTACTGTAAACATTCCTCCGGTTTCGCTAAAGTGTTGACTGTAAATTACTGGTTAACCCAAAGGTTTCTCCTAAGTTAGTCACTTCATTAATAAGTCCAGTATCGTTAAGTTCCGCAATAAAAATTAGATATTGTTAAATAAAATAAAATTAAAATTGTGTTTCAATAAAATAAACACCCAAAGGATAAACTCAAAATGTGAAAACTTATTTAACTTATACAATCAACAATAGCCCTAATAGCGCATATTAAATAGCATTCAAAGTAATTTAGATGAGCAAGGCTTAACAAATGTTACAACTTTTTCAATTTCTTTTTAAATCATCAAACAATTCAAAGCCTGTTAACAATGAAAACAACCCAATTAAGTTGCGTGACTGTCCGCAACGAAATAAAGCAAATTGAAGACTACCTTCATTCAAATGACTTTTCAGCGGCATAGTTGTCCAAAATATTTGTCCACTATATATTCAGAAAATAATTCTGAATCGATCGGTATAATAAAAGCTAGGTCAATCTTAAGGCTTCTGCGTGTAACATACGTTCCCACAAACTCAATACAGCTTGTACCACACACAAGTACACAAGCTGTGTGAGGTGCAATATTATATAATCAACCAATAATACTCAAGAAAGCAAAAACTAGAAATTGTTTTTCTTAAAGTAGCAACTAACATTTATGTATTCTTCTTCCAAATAAATTCAACAAGTTTTCCCCTGCGACAACCAGTCAACAACATGGACCGGCAGAAATCCCTAATTTAAAAGATAAAAAGACAAAAAGCTTGTTCAAAATGTTTTTCGGAATTATCCAAAATAAACCCTTTGCCTGCGGCATAGGGTAGATGGATCAAAACTTCTTAGCTAAGGTTTCTTACTTTTTGCCAAGTGTACGGTCTGCCATTCATATCATGATTGAAGAAAGCAAACCAGATGGAAATTCAGTCCATTAAAATGTTCATCTCCAATTTGAATGATATTCAAATATTTAGATTTCTTTTAGATGGGCTATAACAGGCTAAGTAGTTAAGAAGCGCTCTTCAACTCTGGCGGGACACCTTGCTTTAATTACGATTGACATGTGGTAGTAGCTATAGCAAGTTGAGTTTCGCAGCAACATCATGAAACGGGATGTTCCGGTCTTCCATACTTTATGTTCAGAATCGACTGTCACCAATCGCTGTGGAAGCGCTCTAGTAAAATATTGAGTCGGACATGACGATGTTCATATTAAACATTGGTACATGGCGCATTAAGTATATGCACATATATATAGCATCCTGAAGCAGAATCATATTCTGAATGAAAAAGCTTATCTGCCGGCCTGTCTTTCTTCTTATTCGTTTCTGTCCTTCTTTTTATTGATTTATTCTGCGTAATGTCTATCAATCGAATTTGCGTCCATCCTCCAGGACATGTTTCGTGTTACGACGTAGTACGACCAATAGGCGTCCTTAACACTAACTTGACATATTTGTCCCAGATTTGGACTAGGTATGGCAAATTGTAAGGCTTCTTATGTGAAGTAAGCTTTTTAATGAGGAAGAAATTAATAAGAAAATAATTTTGTCATTATTACTATATGACAAAAACAGAAGAAGAAACAAAAGAAGATTTTTGAAACAAAGTTAATTTTGCTAAATTTAGATAATGGCCTTTCATATACGGACTCTATGAGAAGCGAGTCTTTATTCAAAAACAAATTATCATATGTGTATTCTACCACGGCCTTGCCCAGCTTTGTACAGGATTTTAATAAATATGTTTCCAAAAGATTTATTGTTTTTGATGTTATCATCTGCCATGAAAGAACTGTGGGAGACTTCAAACTGAAGCGGAAACAATCAAAACGTCACGAAAAGTGTGTTGAAAATCCGACTTTATTTGAATTATTTATCAAAACAAAAATAAATTCGTATACAAATGCCTAAAGTTATTACATCAAGTTCTAAAAAGTGCTGGAAGATACTCGCAACAGTTTCAGATTAAGTTTGAATTACAAAGCTCGACAATCTCAATGGCCCCTATAGAGATCTCCTTATTCGCGCTTCTTTGCATTTCCTCGAGTTTTTTGAATCCATCACAATATCTAACAACATATTTCATATCGATGGCATATTTTTCCAACAAGACGAGCACATCATAAATAATTTGCAAGACCCATAACTCTTCGGTGGCTAGATGATCACAGAGGAGAATCAAAACATGAGCAATTCTTTTCGTTGAACATGGTACAAAAGGAAGAGCTGCTGAAAGGAGTTCAAAAATGGTGTCAGCGGCTACCCTTTTCACGTGAGCTTCGCTCCGGCATAAACCATCAATTAAAGCAGGGAGAAAATCAGCATTTATTACTTCCAATTTTTGCGATCGATTACCCTCTTGAATAATGTAACAGAGAAGAATGAAGGTGCGGATAAGCACATCTGGATCGCTTCGCGGTTGAAACAACACAAGCCGGATATTAGGTAATATGTTATTTTTAAGAAGCAAACCAATACGGGAAGATGAACCGAGCGATAATTGCTGTAACACCTCAAGAGCTGCTCTCTGTATTTCAGCTCTAGGATTGCACATCAGGGTCGCCAACGGTAGCGTGGCCCCGTATGCAGCGACCAAATCGCGTTCGCGAGGACTATTTTTGATAATAGCGGCCAAAGCCCAAGCTGCCATTTCGCATGTTTTTAAATCATCACAATATAATGTACGCACAAGGCATGGTAAGGCGCCAGACTGAGCGACCAATACTCTATG